AACAAATATGTATGACTTACTATAGAATTACTACACTGAAGCTTCCAGCTAGCAGTGTAACGGTAGATGACAAGAGAAGATTTGTAGCTCAGATGGATGATTTGCAATTAGTAGTGTTTCATCTGAGCTGGTTGGTTTACTAGCGGAGCTTTCTTCGTCCACCTTCTGGACAACATCTTCAGCGAAACTAAACCAACCAGCTCAGACGAAACACTACTAATTGCAGATGACAAGAGACTTGATGAAAGGAATGTTTACTTGGAGTTTGATATCTCTGTATAGCAAAATGGTGTACACCTTGTCTCCAAGTCGTCATGTGCACAGATCTTCTTCCGTGCTGTGGTGTTGTGCTACTTCTGCCTTTCCTTCGTATTTTGTGTTTCTTTGTCTTCTCTTCAGTGTTTCCCATGTTTTGCCGCAACACTGAATCATTTGCTTACTCTCTTTGACGTCAAATCTATCTCTCTGATATTTGATATTTTTGTGCCGATATGGGTGTCTCTATATATATTACTGATAAGTCTTTTCAGTAGCATACTCCATAGCACTGAAATCCAGGATACGTATTTCGTCCTATTTGGGACTCATCTACTGGGTGTAAGAGATAATGAACCCTCTATCCATCGTGTTAAACGCCACTGGATTATGCACTAAGTCAACTGGTCACGCCAGTCTACTCTTGTGTATTAGCTATCAATTGTTATTTGTGTTTTTGGGTTGATTTGTATTTCCCATCAGTTGGTTATTTTGGACCTAATTACACGGCCTGTGTGAATGCATTGGCTCCTAGTAAGGATGCTAATTACCGTCAACTAAAATAACAAAGCATGGAATGGCAATTAAACCTGTACCTAAACTATTTGGACTTTGAGCAGGCCTTCGCCAGCGATGACCCCGAAGCAATTTGGAAACTACTCGAGTACTATGGCGTACACCAAATATTCATCGACTTTATTCAACAGCTGTACGACAACGGCACATGTCAAGTGATCTACAACGGAAAACTCAGCGAGGCGTTTGAAGTAAACACAGGAGTCAGAAAAGGGTGCTTATTATCACCAATGATATTCCTAGTTGTGGTCGACTGGATTATGCATCAGACAGTGGGAAACGAGAAGACAGGGATATCCTGGACCAACGTGAAGAACCTAGAAGACCTGGATTTCGCGTGTGGATGATTCCTGTTCGATGTCACACAAAATCGAAGACTTACAAGCGAAACCCGACAAACTGGTCGAAGAAGCAACAAAGACAGGACTCCAGGTGAACAAACAAAAGACGGAGGTTATGAAAATAACCAACCAACAACAACAACAGCAGCAACATTCAGCACCATTCACCATCAACGGGAAGAATTTGAAGGAGGTTACTTCATTCACTTATCCAGGTAGGGAGCATTGTCTCAACTACAGGAGGAACGGACGAGGATGTCAGATCGAGAATCGGGAAGGCGAGAAACACATTCACCAACCTGAAACTAATCTGGAAATCTTCGTCACTCAGCATCAACAACAAAACGATTCGGATTTTCAATACAAACGTCAAGTCAGTCAGTTCTTCCATACGGATCAGAAACTTGGCGGCGGGTCACCAAGAATATTTCCAACAGGCCACTGCAGACCTTTATCAACAACTGTCTTCGCTCTATACTGAAGATCAGATGGCCGGAAGGAATCACCAACAAGAAACTATGGGAACAAACAAAACAAGAACCAATCGCCCAACAAATATGCAGGAGAAAGTGGAGATGGATTGGACACTCGCTGAGGAGGCCGCTGGGTGACATCGCGCGTCAGGCCAGTGCTCGAGTGGGACCCGAAAGGGAAGCGGTGAGTGGGACGTCCAAGGGTGACATGGATGAGATCGTGTGAAGAGGAGATGAAACAGTATGGACTTACATGGATGCAGGTGACAGAAGCAAGTTGAGACGTGTAGTTGAAGCCCTATGTTCCACTAGGAACCTAAGGGAACAATAAAGATAATAATAAGTCAGATATCGTCTAAGCGTTCTTACTTTAGGCTGACGCATCAAAAGAGACTGAGCATTCTGCTCTAACATAATCGATCAGTGGGAAATGTAAATTTACCCAGACAGGATTCTAAACTCTGTTTGAAGTAATAGTGTTTTTTTTTTCATTCATCGCCAGAAAATAAAGTTAATACACAATATGCATTGACTAACTATCTTTTTACGCCTGAAAAATTCAAGTGTATAATTAAATTTGTTTAAACAGAGCAAGAAGAACAAACCGAGTGGGATGAAATGACGTCATTATTATTATTATTGTTAGCTGCGTACAACAACGAACAGTTTAACATCGATACAAGTAATATACAAATACTGATAAAGGTGGCGAATGTTAATGTATCACATGATTGAGAAGCATTAGGCAAAGAAATAGAAGTCGTTGTTAAGCTTTTTAGTACTAGGGCATATCAATAATCAGAAAATATTCTAGAATATTATGAACGAATGGTACAAAGTGAATAGAGGCTTAAAATAAATAAAAAAAAACATTTATGTGAGAGTCGAATGATAATTTAGTTAAGCGGAGCTCAAAAAAAGGGTCTGGTCAAGGATATGTTTCTGTATATAAAGATAAAATCAGGTTAGGAAATTATATTGCGAAAACAAAATATCATTAAAATGATAAAATTAACAAGACTGAGTCAGGCAAGAGGAAATTAACGCGCCAGCGACACTGGTTGGCGAAGTGGCAGAGGTTGGAATTCATGGATCATTAAGTTGGCTCCCATTGGGTAAATGATCTACGAGCTCGCCTCGTAACCAGAAGGTCCTGGGTTCGAACCCCGGTGGATGCCTACTGATGAAGAGTCCCGAAGTGGGACGAAACAAATGTTCAGTACTCCTTGGTGGTTTTCCAATGCTTCTCTGAACTATGTCAGTTAGTGAACGATCCTGCAACCAACCAATCAAATCGAATCCCTGCAAACCAACACTTGATAAAGGATAATTATCTTTTTTCTTACATGACTTACCCCATTCTGATGTAGCCACTTTTGTCAAGTATGCTGATGACCTCTCTGTCTCCATACCTGTCAACTCTCAGTCAGACTGTTCCAAATTAAATAACTTTCTGTCGGAAATTAGTCAGTGGTCCTCTTCAAACGGTCTCAAGCTAAATCCGTCTAAATTTCAGGTAGTAAATTTCACTTTCAGAAGAAAACGTAACCTACAACAACTAGCTAGCTCACATGGTCCCACTACCATTGACGGCATAGAGGTTGAAATTACATCTAACGTCAAGTACCTTGGACTTAGTATTTCCTCCGATCTTTCCTGGTCCTCTCACATCTTGCTAGTTACTAGAAAGATGTTTCGCTTAACGTTCTACGTTAGGAAGTTAAGGCAGTCTGGTATAAAGCAGTCTTTGCTTTCTCAGTTTGTCAATTCTTGTATTCTACCCATCCCTCTCTATATGCAGCTCTCTCCTTGCATTTCGTCTAGTAGAACTAGAAGCAACTATAGGAGGCTATATGCTAAAACTACCAAGTACAAAAACTCCACAATACCTTATCTGGCACAGCTGTTATGTGATGAGAAATCCGTTAGGTATGACACGATCAACTTACTGCGGCACTCTGACAATTAGTCTCATTAGATTTTGTTTTCCTTTCTTCGTTACTATTATATTGCTGCTCACATATTCTATTACACACTAATTTTATATTTCATATCCTGTGGTGCATTGTTTAAAATGTGAATGCAATGCTGTTCTTTTTTATTTCTTTTATTTATCTTTTTTCTTTTTGTTGTTGTTGCTTTATATTTTTAAATCCTTATAAAATTTATGAGGTAATTAGATGCAATATTGTAATGCACGCTGAAAATTCCATACCTGTACCACAAATACTGTTTGGAATAAAGCTATTATTATTATTGTTAAAGCGAAATTAACAACGATTTCCTTTCAAGGCCAAGTTAAACTTTAAGCACTACTAACTACCAATAGAGTGCTACCACACCAGTGACCTTGAAACGCCCACTGAGCAAGTTAGTGAAACCTGGCAAATAAAAATATGCTCATCAAAGTGTTATGCTTTTAAATGGGATATCTAGCAAGTATCAACTTAGGTTTGGGAAAGATTAAGTTACACTTTGAGCCAAGGACAAGTTGGGGTTAGGTTAACCTAACAAAGGCGAGTTAGATAACAATTAGTTTAGGAATATTTTCACGTTAGGGTTAGGATCAAGAAAGATTAGGGTTATTGTTAGGGTTAGAAGACCTAAATAATTACATGCATAGAATGTGGTTAAAGTACTCTGTTGATATAAGAATAGAACTTGTGCACTGTGGCGGTAGAGTATAATTCCATTGTCGGTAAAATTTATTTTGATAAATTCTCACAGTTTTATACAGTAACATTTACTAATGACGTTTCGAGCACAGTTTATTGCTCAGTAAATATTACTGTATAACACTGTGAGACTTTATCAAAATAAATTTTACCCACAATGGAATTATACTCTGTTGATACTCTGACCTAAAACTGACAGCTTTTTTATCAGATGTGAGAGGAAGGTATCCTCTGTAACACTTTTCTACAGTTTTTATGCATTATTTCATAAATATATGCATTCCATACACAAAAATGCCTCCCCGTGATTAGTGCGTTCGAGGTCATTCTCTGGCTGGTAGTTAATAGTACTTAAAGATTAACTTTGCCCTTTTCGGATGCTTAGATATGTTTTTAATTGTGTAATGGCATTCGCTTCAGTGATACGCAGCAACTTGGAGCTGTCTTGAAATTTAATTATCTTTAAGGATCCTAATGCATCGATTTTATGACGCCTATCTAACAGGTGGCTAACAGTAGCACTACTCGGATATCCTGTTCAATATGTCTTTCGTGCTTTGTTCAAGTCTATCATGAGGAATAATGCTATGAAATTTAATTAAAATTTTTGCTTTTACTTTTCACTAGTCTAATTTTTTGTTTCCCTTCTTTCTTTTTTGTCTTTTCTTTCTTATCTCTAGGAAAAAATTGAAAATGTTTTTATTGTCATATTTACTGTGGAATGTGTATTGAAGATTGTTGCATTCGGTTTTGTTATGCACTCAGGAGCATATTTACGTAATGCATGGAATATACTCGATTTTACTATCGTTATCTTAGGGTAAGTATTCACCGAAATAAAAATTACTCCAGTACTATTCATGCATGATATGACAGAACTGAGTGAAATAGTTGCAGCCAATTCCGAGGTGTTGGATTTGTTTCTTTACGCATTTGATGCGCGAGCTGGTATCAGTCAGAGAACCATTGGAAAACACGGGAGGACTGGGCAGGTGTTTCGTCCTGTCCCGTTCGAGACTCTTCAACAGTGCGAATGCACGATTTTTCCAGGGACTTTTAATTTAAGAGACGAAGTTCGTTGATCATTCAATCACCTGGGCTGGAATTCAGTGACCTATGGATTCTAACTCTGTCAACTCACCAATGCCTTCGATGAACACCCTACTGGTCATGATTTCCCACTGCAACTTCAGGAAATTCATCCAGTACCCATCAGAGACTGATGGTGACTGATAGACTGAAGCAGCTGTCTACTGCTCCGTGGTTTTCAATTATCTCTCTAACTGATGATGGTTTGTGGCTAAAGTCCAGCAACTGAAATTAATTATCCAGGGTTAGTCTGCAGGAATTTGATTGGTTATGGGTGTGATCATCAGCTGACGTCATTTAGAGTATCACTGGGAAACCATGGAGTCGTGGAATACTGTTTGCTTAGTTCAGGCAAGTTAATCATATTGCCATTCAGTGTAGCTAGCCACCATCCGCGTGGTTTGAACTGATTCAGCACTCGGATCTGAGTGAAAATAGGCACACTGTTGATAAGCCCTGTCAAAAGAAAACAAGTGAAAAGACTATCTAGTGTTTAGAACACTTTTGATCTGGCTTGCTAGTAAGCATTCCTGGTTGGTGTGATTCGTTTACAACTGCTCACATCAATCGATGCCAACGTGGCATGCAGAGTACAGAGTACGCCTGACTCATTCTTTTTCATGTTTTTTGTGGAACGATTAAGATATAACAGAAAACCTTGGGGGAAAGACAAATGACTATAATTGGTTTCTAATCAGTAGGTAAAAAGCCCTTGTCAAATGCTCAGATCGAAAAAGATCCTGAATCTAGCTCTGATTCCAGAAGACTAACTGGCGCCTCAGTACACCGTATGCTGTAATCGACGCGGAAAATATCAGAAGACGGATTGCCAGTACGATGACCGTTCATTTCTTCACTAACAATGAAGCAGAACAACAAGATTACAAGGCACAAAGTCAATGAATAAACGTTAATATAAAATACAATAATACTTATGATATTTTCAAGTATTGGATTTGTAGGGATTTTGTTTGATTGCATGGAGGATTTCATCATGAGTTGACATCAGTTAGAAAACCACTGGAAAACGAACAGGAACTACTGGACAGCTGTTTCGTCAGACTAGTTTGGGACTCGCCTTGTAACCAGAAGGTCTTGGGTTCGTTTGTGCCAAACGAGGACGAAATAGCTGTCCAGTACTCCCTGCAGGTTTTCCAGTGGTTTTCCAACTGATGTCAACTCATGATGAAATCCTCCATGCAGTCAAACAAAATCCCTGCAAAACCAATACTTGAAAATTAATCTGATGCTCACTAGTGACTGGCCCCATTCAGGCAGTTAACCTGGGGTTCTAGTGGGAAGCCGTGACCAGTAGGGTACAGCAGGTTGGAGATGAGGCAGTAACTCATCTAAGAAGACATTGCGAAGTGGTTGCGCTATGTCGTGAATTGGCAGAAGTTAGAATTCAAGGACCATTGGATCGTGTCCCAGTGGCTCAATGGTCTACGAGCTCGCCTTGTAACCAGAAGGTCCTGGGTTCAAACCTAGGTGGTGGGTTCGTACTGATGAAGAGTCCAAAGCTAGGGCGAAATGGCTGTCCAATATTTATGACAGTTTTTCCCCAGGCCTCTGCCAACCAAGGTACGATAAAGCAACGGCCTTGAATAAAGCATACACAACTGGTCATCAAGGAATAATGAGATTAATAGTAAGAATATAAATAAAATGTTGCTGAGTAAACAGACTGTTACTGATGTGTAATGAGTGGCCACTGAAGATTAAATCCAAAACGCCGTCCACATCAGATTTCCGGTTTACTAGTCCGGTGATATAACAGCTGACCTACTGAAGCCTCAGCTAACAGACACCACTGGAATAGTGATACGGAGGCTACTGGTTCAACTTCTGCGGCGTCACAGGTTTTCATTTCATCTTCACTCACCTCCTATTGTATAAATAATGAAAATGTCAAAAAGTTTTATAGGAAAAAACTTCCAAAAAGATTCCTTTTGATGGTGTACAATGGTGTTAGACTTTGTTAAACAAATTTACTCTTTTTGATGGAATTGTACTCTGCCAAAGTGCCTAAGTTCTATTCTCCTGTGATTAGAGCGAAATTATTTGTTGAACTATAATGCACCACTTGATGAAAGTTCGTACAAACGACAAGAATTAATTTAAAAGTACAGGTAGATAGGTGATTTTAAGGTGTGTGTGTTATGAGTAAAGTTCACAATGATTCTGGATGAGTATATGGTATGAAACACATCAAGGAAAATCTCCTTTGTTGTTATTAGATGGATGGAGGAAATCGGTCGGAAGCCCCCATGGACCTAGGTTTCATGCCTGTTGTTACCAGTCAGCAAGGCGTATCTTCAATGCCTACTGAGATGTGAACCCGTGTCACCCAGTGGTGCGGTCAGACACTCTTCCACTGAGCTATTCGGGCTGGCGACTGGCCTCCTGTAGGGGACCGTATTGAGTACTATGACTGTGAACACAAGGTGGTAAATAACCAGTGTCATCAGTCTAGTCCTTTGTTTGGTGCAGAGTGAATTTTATCAGTCAAGTTTGCAATGTTGCCACCTGTCTAGGAGGCTCGCCATCATCCTGCTATCCGAATGAATGGTTGTTAGTAGACGGTTGGAGGCAGTCAGCAGGAACTCTTTGATCTAGGACCTAGAATTCAGTCTGCACCAAACAAAGGATCAGACGCATGATACTACTCACTAACTAATATTCATTCAAAGAAAATCTTCGTATAGTCTATTTGGTGACACTACAAAATACACATCCAGATATTCATAAATTATCTGTAAAACACAAAATAATTGAGCAAAGAATATCCTTTTCGATAAATTTCTCTTCTGGCTCTACAATTAGATACCTGTATGTTTATACACATAGAATATTCTAGCTTAGTAGCCAGTAACAGTATTAGTGCTTTTTAAATAATATCGATTTGTAAAGTAAGATCAGTGGAATTACAGTTCAGTAAAGATGCTTAAATTATAATAATAATAAAAAAGATATAGTAGCGAATAGAATATCAACTAAAATTAGGAAAATTCCACAAAAGTTCAGGATCATTCAAACCTAGATAGCCAGTGGGGTAAGGATAATGTTTGAACTTGCTTCTTTTCGACGCACAAATTAGTCTTCTTAATATGGATCCCCACAGCCAGCCTCAGCAATATTTAGTAGTCGAACTCTTAAGGCAAAATTGAGATTTTTAGGTATGCGGTAAATGACCCTGAAAGCATGGTTAGCGTTAATCCTTTGTTCTGTATCCACAAGATGAGACAGAATACCGATGCGAATAGATTTCGTTTGTCCTTTACTTAATCATTCAAGGTTATGTTCAGAAATCTGACGAGAAACACGCCTAGTTATACGGCCTATGTAACTGGCTCACTCCACAAGAGCAGTTAAATTCGTAGATCCACATGGAAGGGGCGAATTTAGACAGTTTATCTTTTACTCCCGAACGGAAAAAAGGAGTTGTTTTGAAGACACAGCGTAATTCGGCAGCAGGGAATGGTGTTTTTACCGCATTTCCACGGCGCTGTGTTAGTATCTCGCTGATGTTGTCCCCGAGGGACTGCATTTGTAAGAATAAGGCCTTTTTAGGAACTGTTGGTACCTTGGTATCTTATCAATAAACACAGCCGAATTACGTTGTTTCTTGGACTACTAAATATTGCTGAAGGTGTGAGGATCCATATTAAGAAGACTTATTTGTGTATCCAAAAGAAGTTAGTTCAGACAATTATCATTACCCCACTGGCCATCTTGGTTTGAATGGTCATGAAATTTTGTGGAATTTCCCTAATTTTAGTTGATATTCTATTTGCTACTATATCTTTACTATTATTATAATTTAAGCATCTTTAATGAACTGTGGTGATTCCATTGTGATCTTACTTTACAAACCGATATTATTTAAAAAACACGCCGATATTGTTATTGACTACTATTCTCGAATATTCTGTGCATATAAACATGGATATAATTGTAAAACCAGAAGAGGAAATTATCGAAAAGGATATTCTTTTCTCAATTATTTTGTGTTTTATAGATGTCTGAATGAATATTTTCGCCATACTGAAAAGTCATCTGGATTGTTTCTTTACTTTTATAGATTATTCACTATACTATAAGAGTACTGAAATTTTTATTTTCTAACCTTTTGTGATTTGTCTATCAAAAGTTGAGATGCAGCCTCTTGCTTAGTTTTTCTGTAGCTTCATTCTTTTTACTGACAATTGTACTTAGTGGGTCATAGTTATTTCCTGGAGATTTTAACTTATTTTTCAGAACCGTCATAAGACTCCACTACTATCATATGTCGAGAAAAGACGATAAGTGTGGTTCATAACAGCAAGGAAGAATATTGACACGTCAAGTATACAGAGATTTCATCTTCTCTTCTTGAAAACCAGTGTTAATAGGACTTACATTTTGTGTCGAGTGTGTCAAGTTCATACAAAACTATACACTACTGATTGATCCACTTGAGTAGTTGTATACCACTCACATCAACCAGTAGGGGGGGGAGGTGATCTAAACTCCGGACGGTCGATTCTTTCCTTTGGCGGCCCTATTTGACTTAGCAAAGAGAGACGAATTATTTCAAGCCACTCAATTTATGTCAAGGTACTTGGGTGAACCGGCAACACTACTGGTTGATGTGAGTGGTCTACAACTGTTCACCTCTTTCAATCAAGTAGTATATCGTTTTGTTGATATATATTGGCTTTCTCTAATACCATTCATTGTATTAAACAGATCACATACCATGATCTGAATAATTTGGTTTTCCTAAAGAAGCTGTGGTGGAAATTCGCCTCCCTGAATAGAGTGAATTGCAGATTGCGAATTTGATTTTACACTCTTAGATAATTTTCTACAGTTGGTTTGTGAGGATTAGTATTGTTTTTACGAGTTCATCACGGATTGATATCAGTTAGAGAACCATTGAAAACCAGCTGAGAGTACTGGACAGCTGTTTCATCCTGGTTTGAGAATTATCAGAAGTACGCACCCACTGCCAGGGTTCAAACTCAGGACCTTCCAGTTACAAGGCAAGTTTGTATACTATTCAGCCACTGGGACCCGATTCAATGGTCAACTCATGAATTCTAACTTCTACCAATTCGTCATTTACTGTGACCCCATGAGCCATTGAGATGGGTCCCAGTGGCTGAATGGTATACGAACTTGCCTTGTAACCGGAAGGTCCTGGGTTCGAACCCTGGCAGTGAGTGCGTACTTCTGATGATTTCCATACTCAGATGGAGGAAACGGCGGTCCAGTACTCTCAGCTGGTTTCCAATGGTTCTCTAACTGATATCAATCCGTGATCAACTTATAAAAACTCTTAGATGAACAATACTATTTTGGTCTATGCATATATATGTATGAATAAACTAGGTGGTACTTGATTTTCGGTGGCTAGAATTGAAATCTAGGATCTGGGTTTTGTCGTTTTCGGGATTCGTCTACTGTATGTACTTACATTCTAAATGGGTGTCAACGCCATAACGGACTCCATTCTTCACCACCGTCTACCAATTACCATTACGCTAATCCTTATATGTTGTCAAATCAGTACGTTAACAGAGTGTATGCGTTATTTCAAATAACCTTTTCTAATATAAAATTACATTCTACCACAGTGCTGATTATATATTTTTGCATCTAACTTATACTTCTTTTTTAGCCTTTTACAACCGCTCATCCAACAAATGGTTGAACAATCTGGTGTAGATGTTAAAGCCCTTCGTGCTTTCAGAGTATTGAGACCGCTTCGTCTTGTTTCTGGTTTACCAAGTGAGTATTTTAGTGTATATACGCCCGCCTTACTTTCATGTTTTATTTTGAATTCAGCCTCATATTTACATCAAAGTATGAAAAGTATAAAAGTAACAGTCAACACGTCCATACATCTACAATACAGTTAACGACTTCGTCGAATGATGTCATGTTTTGATTTGACCAGAATTCACCATTTTCTGACCTAATCCTATATCAGGTAATGTTGTTCTTTGAGGAACCTCATAGCTCAGCGTGCATAATACGTCGCCTATTCATCTCAAAAGAACGCTTTGAAATAACTCGCACAGAACGACCTTTATACTCTGCTACACAGGAGTAAGTGAACTGACACATACACACACTGGAGTGTTCAGATGTGGGAGTTTGTCCTTCACATTGTTTAGAAACAGTTGGCGGCTAGAGAAAGGTTTTCTTTAGAGAACCAGAATTTCTCCTCTATAAGATATCTTCTCCTAATTGTCTCCTGCTTTCTTTGGCACTGAAGAGCACATTCTTCTCTTTAGGACTTTGGTTTCATATTCTTCTTCACGAAGCGTGTAGAGTATGTAATTTCAGGGGAGATATTTTTGAGAAATAAGAACTCTTCTTCCCAGCAGTGAGTGCTGCGAATTTTTTGATACAGTGGGTCAGTCAAATGATGAGAATTCTTCTTAGAATCATAGGCACCTACAGATCCACAGAAAACCATCATCTAATGACCAAATGATAAATGTATACAGTTACAACCTTCTTGGAGATCATTTCACTCACTGTAGAGCTTTTATACTTAGTTTTACTGATGGACAAACGCTTTGGATAGTTATTTTGGATATGGCTAGACAAATGTCTTTAAGACAACACATATCCTTTCACATGCATTTTTTTATACCTTCACGTTCCCAGTGGAACATATGGCTTCAAGCTAGAGTCTTGAAGTTTCTTTAGTAGTGTTTAGTTTTACAGGATGGGGTTGCTAGCCTCATGCTCAACCTATCCTCTTCACCAGCTTCATTTCTGGCTTAGTGAGGTAAAGGAGTGCGCCGGCCGGGGATCGAACCCCGGACCATGTGAATGGTCAGCGAGCGTCCTAACCGCTATACCACCGACGCCACCGATGGATTTTAATACCTGATAGTTATTGCCTGTTGGTGACGCCTTTTTTCATTTTGTTGGCTATTGTTGCACAGACTTTTACCGGGTCTATTTTTGAACAGCTTTTGCACTTCGTTCTCAGATGTCAGTTTCCTCACGTTTATGACAGGTTCCAGATGAAACTGTAGAAAACCACTAGCACTGACTGATTAACAGTCTCCACACAAGGCTGAATATGACATTGGGCTTCTTCAATATGTTGTTTTGCTACCCGTTTTAGATATAAGATAAAAAAACAACAAATAACTAATGACATGTTTTGGCGTATTATTACAATAATTTATTAAGTGAATTTGTTTCTCCATGTTCTTCTTCTTCTTCTATTTCTCTTCAGGTTTACAAGTCGTATTGAATTCTATTATGCGTGCTATGGTCCCTTTGCTACACATTGCACTTCTAGTTATCTTTGTAATTATTATCTATGCAATAGTTGGTTTAGAATTATTTTCTGGTAAATTACACGCAGCATGTTATGATTATTTAACAGGTCAGTATTATTATTTTGTTTCATTGTTTTTTCTCTCTCTCATGAATTAACACTTAAACTTTGTCTGTATACTGTGATCTTTTCATTGTTAGACAGAAGACCAGTAGTTCAGCGAAGATTCTCTTTTCGGCGAATTTATTTTCATAGCTGTACAATCGCAAATATATATGGTTGTTTTGTATGTGTGTTTACATTAAATTTGTCAAACGAAAATACAATTATTAAGTTCAGGTGAATTAAGTGTTGATATAAGAGGGTAGTAACAAAAGTGATGAGTTGTCACAAACGCTTGTTAAAGAAGAGTTGCGTAATAATGTGAATAGTTTGATGAAAGATTTGTGCTCAGGGTGTACATGGAAACAAAAAAACATACGGAATTACGCAAGGTTAGTTAGAAGAATAAGCATACACACAAGAGTTAAGTCGAATCAAGCAAACAAACAGAAGTTAAGTCAAATCAACGGAGTTGTTACCACGAGAATAGAAGTGGTTGAATAATTTTCTTTTGTATGCATAGTTCTGGTTCTTACAACTGAATGGCTAGGACATCTGCAATGCAAAGAAGACGGAAACATATTGTCTTTGGAAGGTTGTTCTTCACTTCGTAGATTACTTTGAAGGAGGAGGCGTTTGTTGAGATGGAATGACCAGTGTTGACGAGATGTTCGATTATTGCACTCCTTATACGGCCACTACTTCCTTTCTGTAGCCACGCTGGATAACATTCTTTGACCCTTTTTGATAGGATGCGCGATGAACGACCGATGTACCTGGCTCCGCAGCAACAGGTGAACTGATATATACACATAGAAGTGGTCAAGTGCTGTTGTTGGTTAGTAAGTTAGTTAGCTACGAACAATTCTGTACCAGTCTATGAGCTACACTGATTGGTAAGGGTTGGAGAAACTATCCATTCTCCCAGATTGAAACGAGTGGAGCAAGACTCGAACCTCGGACCTACTGGATAGGAACTGAGTACTTAGGACTTTGAGTTACATCACCAGAAAATAGAGTCATTGTTATTATATGAACAAAGGAAAATAATCTATGCGTTCTACTGTATAACTGGTGGAAACTTTCCTGAATTATACGCAGTCAGAATATCCCCCAAAGCCAACGAAATCTGCGGTATTATGTAATAATAATAATAACATACCGAATGACGAAAAATTACCTCAACAATGCTGTTATACAGCTATACAGATCCACTTCTTTTTCAAGTACAAAATGAGTACTGTACAAAAAAATTACTTAACTAAATCAACCGTAAGAAGTACCTGAGTATCAAGAAGATTATTGCCAACAAAGTGGGATCAAAACTCCCTCAGCAAGAATCATGCATGCATCATTAATTCCTGAAGACAGTCCAAAGTTGGAATGACCTTGGTTCTGTCAAACAAAATTGGAGCTGTGAAAAAAAACAGATCATCAATATCTACACACAATTACAAAGAGAAGTAATAAAAGTAGAGATTAAACAGAAAAGAAAGAGACAAATAATAAGGATCAGATCAACAGTGATGTGATGTATATAGCCAAGAAGAAAAGAGGATACTGGGTACAAAGTTAATATATGTGTAAAACTTGGGGACTGTGGTAGTAAGTAATTCCACATTGGTTTATTTATTAGATGTATCACACAGTCAGCGAAACAGTATTATTTACTGGATGACAATGTTTCGAACAAAATTTATTCATCTTCATAATCATATCAATTGTAATCACACAACTTCGGAACTTGAGTTTTTCTTTGTCCTCTCATATTTGTCGTCGTAGGAGTAGTAGAATTTTCCAGATATCTGGGTGGACAGGTTTTGAATCATTCCTATTACATGTATTTGCAGTTGATTCGATAAACAAAGCTTCTGCTTTCAATCTCTCCCTCCACCGTGTGACATTAGATTTTAAAACTGTCACCCTATCCCATCCTATGAACTTAATAATTACCCTGATAAATTAGTCAGAAAGTATGTAGGGAAATGTAAAAATAAAATAAATAATGAAAGTAGTGATAGTAATAGTGATAATAATAATGATAATAATATAAATAATGATAATAATGGTAATAATAGTAATATCAATGACGACACGCATGTCAAACATGCGCAAGATAATGACAACACCATCAATAAGGAATCCAAATCATCAGTAGTACTTCCATACAAGGAAGGAACCTCGGAAACCACCTTACGCAGAATTCTTAACAAGGCAGGAATAAAAGTGGCTGGCATTCAAACCCACAAACTTAATTAAAAACAAGCTTTGTCGGTTAAAGGATCCTGGGGAGCCAATTAAACAAAACAATTTAGATTGTCTAATACCCTGCCTGTGATGATTGTCAGGTCAAATACATAGGTCAAACTAGTAGAACAGGGACAGTCAGACTAGCCGAACATAAATACCTAGCAAAATCTATATTAGTTGACCCGAATCAGATAAGAAATCTAGAGAATAGTTCAGCTATAGCAATACATGCAGTTACACACAACCATACAATAGGATGGTGGGATAGGATGACAGTTTTAAAATCTAGTGTCACACGGTGGAGGGAGGGAAAGATTGATAAGGGAAGCTTTGTTTATCGAATCAACTGCAAATCAACACGTGTAATAGGAATGATTCAACACCTGTCCAGACGGACATCTGGAAAATTCTACTACTCCTACGACGACAAATAGGAGAGGACAAAGAAAACTATAAAACTCAGGTTTCGAAGTCGTGTGATTACAATTGATATGATTATGAATAATGATGAATTGTGTTCGAAACATTGTCATCCAGTAACTAATACTGTTTCACTGTGCGATACATCTAATAAACAAACTAATATGGGTACAAAGTTGTTTGAAACAGTTGAATAAGCGCTAATATTGTAATTAGATCGTTTAGATGGGATTTCTCAAACAATTGTTTCATTAGAATAATGCTCATTTTGTCGTAATCACTCACGATCTTGCTATCTAGATGTAGTTTTCTCCGACGAAAGTGGAGTCTAGTTCACATCGTTTTAAATGGTTAAACGGCTATTGCTGACTCCATTGAGAAATGATATTGGTTAGAGAACCAGTGAAGACCACAGGGTACTGATTAGTTGTTTCTTCCCAGTTGGACAGTCTTCATCAGTATACACCCATGAACCTATTTATTAGGGATTAAACCGAAGAGCTTCAGATTAGCAGGCTCACTGGTTGACCATTTATCCTCTAGGCTGGAATCCAATGCCCGTTGAATCGTAAATTCTGTCAATTTCTGATATAATGCTACACTTATCGATAATCATTTACCTCATTCTGATATGGTTAGCGCCATCAGCTATGACTTGTCATTAGAACCTCAACACATTTATCCTGTAGTCAATAGTGATTCGCTAACTGATATTGTTTTGTAACGATATATATTACTGCGCTGAAATTTAATTAAACCCATTACATAACTCTCAAAATTTGGATGTATATCATGAAACACGAAATTACATCTGTTACGCTGGATTTTATATTTTGATAAATATCACAAGAATGTCAACTCGTGTTTCACGGACGAAAACTTCGCTTGAATGACTATCCTGATTTATCAATGTAAAGCTTGTATTATGCGAGTATGAAGTTTTTCTTTTTTAAAAAAAAATAATGTTTTGTGATAGTGACTGTACATTTACAATTGACTTATTGGATGGACATAATTTAAGGGAAAAAGACTTTAGACATGTGTATATTTCATGATCAAATTAAAAAGAAAACTAACTACAACAATATTCAGAGTGTTCCTGTGAAATTAGTTATACAGGACAGAGTTTTTTGTGTACCAGACAGTCTATGAGCCATGCTGCTATGATATGTGAGAGCTAATCAGACAACTTAGTGTTGCTACAGCCTGAATCTGTGACCTGTTGGATAGAAATCAATAAACCACATCCTAACATGATATCTGAATATCTTTAATGCTATGAAGGAATTAGAAACATACGTGACTGAGATCGCAGTACAGCACGAATAGATAATATGTGAAAACCGTGTTGAAAAAATCAATCTTAAATCAGTTATTGAATAATAAGATACAGTCAATTCGTTCTACAGTCCTTAATGTAGTTATGTTTGCATAATACTGGAAAGTTTCAATCTAAAAAGCGGTTTTCATGCTGTTATCATTCAAGCTTATATTGACTGGCGAAAAAGTCTATTGCGAGTTCGTAGACTATAAGGTCACAGGGACCCGATCCAATGGCGCATGAATTTTAAATTCTGACTACGAGCTTGCCTCGCAACCAAAAGGTTCTGGGTTCGAACCCTGGTGGTGGGTGCGTACTGATAAAGAGTCCCAAGCTAAGTTGGAGGAAACAGCTGTCTATGAGTTTTCCAATGGTTCTCTAACCGATGTCAGCTGATGATGAAATTCTGTAACTAAAAGCTAAAATAATTCAACCATAAAATTTTCATACTTCTGAAAAGGTTAAAGGATATTTCTGAAGGTTGAAGCCACATGTTCCACTCGGAACTCGAAGAAATAAAAAATTAATTAATAGAACATTTACCCTTCATCCAACAGTTGTACGATAATGCTGAATGCCAAGCAATCCACAACGGGAAACTCACGGAATCTTTCGAAGTGAAGACGGGAGTAAGACAAGGCTGGCTGGCTGCCTACTATCTCCAATGATTTTCCTGATTGCGGTAGACTGGCTAATGCGACGGACAGCGAGCAGCGAAAAAACAGGCATAAAATGGACCCGCACAAAAAAGGTTGGAGGATTTGGACTTCGTCGGTGATATATGTTTAATTTCCCACAAACTGGAAGATATGCAAGTGAAAAGCAACAAGATTGCAGAAGAAGCATCAAAGATAAGTAGGACTTCAAGTGAACTGGCTAACAGCAACAGCAACCACAACGGACAACAATCAGCATTAATGGGAGGAATCTGGAGGAAGCAATCTCCTTCACCTACTGACCTGGGATGCATCGTTTCAACTAAAGGCTGACAGAACTGACGAGGATATCAAAGCGAGGATCGGGAAGTCAAGGGAAGCTTTCATTACTCTCAAGTCTGTGTGGAGGTCAACAGCACTCAGCATGAAAAATAACATCCGGATTTTCAACTCCAATGTGATGTCAGTGCTACCATACGGATCAGAGACTTGGTGGGTCACGAAGCGCACTTCAGACAAAGTACACACCTTCATCAACAGCTGTCTTCGCTCGATACTTTGCTCAAGATGAGATGGCTGGCCAGAAAAGATCAGCAATAGTCAGCGATCTCTGGGAGCGAACCAATCAGGTACCGATTGTACAATAAATATGCAGGAAGAGATGGAGGTGCATTGGAGGCCATACTCTAAGAAAACAAACCATCAAGTGACATCACATTGCAGGCCATCGCTCGAATGGAACCTGAATGAGAGGCGGCGAGTTGGTCATCAGTGCAAGGGTGACATGGAGGAAGTCATGCGGGAAGGAGATGAAAACATATGAGCAGACCTGGAGCTAGGTGAAAACGTTCGCAGAGAACCGAAAGCAATGGAGACGTGCGGCTGAAGCTCTATATTCCTCCAGGAACTAAAGGAAACTAATAATAATAGGACATATCATCACGCATATATGCTCGGTTTTTTTATTTTCATTTCTTGTATGAGACGGATCAGTCAATGTGACTTGAGTATTTTTCTATTTCTAAAAACAACAGTGACGAATCTTCACCTTGAACTGTGTTCATTGTAAATTACGAATTGCAATTTTATTAGTAGATACATCACACTGATGAATACTGACAAACAGAAGTGTCAGTCGTATAACTAACTATATATGATTAATTACACTAAATTACGGAAGTAATCAGATTGATAATAAAAATTCATAATCTAAGTGTTGACTCATTTTGATCAATCCAAATATCTATAGAAGTATGACAGTGTAAACAGGTGATCGGTGTTACCACTTTTTCGTAAACAAAAAGTTTACGTTTGCACATTTTGCAATAAAAAAGTACTGGAGAGTTGTATCGTCCCGGTCTTGAACTCTTCAGAAATACTACTCCACAGGGGTTCGAATCCACATACTAACTCATAAATATTGGTTACTGGTTACAAGAAAAAGTTTACTGAAGTTCAACGCAGAAGTCGTGACCAGAGGGATCCAAAACGTTACGTAGAAGAACAGTTATTCGCGTATAACATTGGCTGGTAGTTACCCTTAAATCGAGAATTCGTAGAATTTGAAATTCATAGACTGCTGTAACCGGTTCCAGTGGCGGAATGGTCTACAAACTCTCCTTATAAGTGAAGGGGGGAAGGCTTCAAACTCTAGTGTGTGAGTGCTGATGAAAAGTCTCAAACTAGGATGAAACAGTCGTTCAGTACTCCCTAGTTTTCAATGGTTCACCTACTGACATCAATCCGTGATCGAGCTTCAGACAGCTGATCAAACTGTATAAATTTGAAGGTAACTTAGAAAGACTTAAACAATGGATTAAACCTCGTGCTTCATTTCATTTGTTGTTTAGTTATTGGTAGCACAGTTTTTAAAGGATGCCTTATAAATGTTTTCAAGCGCGGTTTCGGTTTCGACGGGTGTTTGACTGATTTCGTGGTAGACGTTTTGTCACGGTTCGTCAGTGTCTGTTGGAATATCACTGAAAAGTTTGAGGCATTGGGCATCTGTCTGACACTAGTTTGTGATTAACTTTCCAGTTTAGACCCTGGATGGCTAATGATAACTAGTGACTGGTGGGAGTTGCACGAAGTTGCGTATCAGGACAGACTTTTATAAGGCTTCAAAGCAATATTTTATTATTCATCCCTGTAATTCTGGGTGGAACACTGAACTTCAGAAGCACATTTCCATTCCATTCGGTTCTCTACCATCACTTTCAGTCAGCTTTACCACTGCTCACAAGCATTTATTCCCTTTTCATATGATATTCCCCCTGTCAACCTTGGAGGTGGAAGAATTCCACTCGAGGGCATGTCTGGCGTGTGATATCACTCAACGGTGACCTTCGGTGTATGTTCAATTCTTGATTGGTTCGCTGCCAGAGTTTTTTATTGTTTATCCTTTCTGATCGGGTATCCGATCTTCAATATCTAACGGAAGGGGTATCTGATGATATTAGATAGTTGGAGGCAATCGGCCACAGGAAGCCTTGCTTGACCTAAGTTTCGTGCTAGTCGGCAGTCACTCACCAGCCAGCAAGGCGTATCTGCAACCAGCTTGAAGGAACTCATGTCCCCCGTCTGAGATTCGAACCCACGGCGTCACCCAGTGGTGCAGTTAGAGACGTTACCACTGAGCTATTCTGTCTTGCGATTGACCTCCTGTAAGACTGGATTGCCTCCAACTATCCAATATCATGAAATCAATGTGCATCGTGATGGCAAGCTACCTAGTGGCATGGTGGCCACATTGCAAATACCTGACTGATGGAATTCAGTCTGCACCAAAGAAAGGACTAGACGAAACGAAAAGGGGATCTGTTGATGAGAGCCTGTATTAGCCTGTTAGAAATGCTTTCAGTGAGGTAAACTTCAAGCATCTGAACCATATGGAAGTATTAATTGACTTGAGATAAGCCCGAAAAGTCATTCAACATTATTGACAATCGTGTTTGTTGTTTATCACCATGTAATTGACTATTGTTTATTACCCTTATTAGTCTGTGTTATTTTATTATTTTATTTTATTCCAGGTGAAATTGAAGATAATCCATCACCGTGTAGTTTATCTTCACGTGGTGCTCAATGTACAGGTTCATATGTTTGTTATGATTTTAAATTGGATATGAGTTATGCAGCTGTTGCTGAACGTAAACAACTCGCCGAGGCGATACAAGCTGGTAATATCACTCCACCGTTAGCACAACCAGAAAGATGGGTTGGACCAAATTATGGGATAACTAATTTTGATAATTTTGGCCTATCTATGCTGACTGTATTTCAGTGCATTACGATGGAAGGATGGACACAAGTTCTTTATTGGGTTAGTTGGCGAATTGTCTGTCTGTCTGTCTGTTTTTATCTGTTTTCGACATAGAACTTTGCACATATGTGCGACAGTTCAAGTCGCCACACTCCCTCCTTGTAGCACACAAAGCCAGAGAAGAAAGTAGGAGAAATGCATACTAGAGACAGTAAACAGAGGTGTGAGACAAAGGAATAGTAATAACGGAGAACGACATAGTTTCATTGGAAATCATGAGTCACAAGGAGTGGATGTATCTGCGATAGCCATTGAGAAGGATTTTCAGCCATGTCACCAATTGTTTCCAACCATTTGTTCTTACCGTCCAGAGGACCCCAACTAGTCAAGAAGTGTACACCTTCCTCCGTGGCTTAGACTAAATGTTGTAGATTTCATTGACTAATGAAGCCATGTTTTGGTTCGACCGCCGCTAGCTCTTTTCCAGCCTGACCCTATATCAGCTAACATTGCCCATTGTCGAGGAAGGTGATCGATAGGCAAGCTTACGGAACACATGTCCTGACCATCTCAGTCGATGTAATTTCACAGCCTCGTCGATTGATTTCCCCTCCTTACCTAGCACTCGACGCCTAACCTCAATATTGCTGACCTTATTATACCACTTCACACGGGAGATAGAACGGAGACATCTATGGTCAAAGAGAGCCGGTAGGTTGTTACTTCTTGGCTGCCCACACCGTGGAAGTTTTGATTGAGTCTTCGGGAACCTGGAACAGAAAGGGTGTTGTGTGACCGCAGAGCCCAGGGGACAACTGCTTGAGGCCGGTCACACGCGGCCTGTTTTTGTTTGTTCTTTTTTGTTTGGTGTGTCTCGGTAGCACATTTATCACTTCTGCCCTGTGACACAGCAGCAGGAAGCGCGGTCGTTGTTAATCCGGGCCCCGACCGATCCGGAATGATATTTTGTGAATTTGTTTGAATCATAGTATTGGATTGGGTAGCTGCTTTTTGTCTAACCGCTGTCCAAACAACCTTTCTGGCATGTTAGGACCTGCAGGAACATAAGTTCCAGCCAGTAGTGTAGCTCGTTGGGTCATGGTGATATGGAAGCCCGACCACCACGTCAAGGTAGCAGCTATCGGTCGGGAGCTGGCGAATTGAATAATAGTTATAATAATAATAGTCCAAATGATGTGTATACATACTGTAGAATATCTGTCTCACCTGGACTCATGGATTACATTATTTTTTCTTACGAATTTCAGCCTAACTGAAATCCTTGATCCTGGGCTGACAGAAGTTAGATAACCGTTGGTAAACCAACTTGAGGGTACTGGACAGCTGTCTCATCCCAGTTTTGTGATTCTTCAGCGGTACTTAATCACTGGGGTTCAAACCCCTGACCTTCCGATTGCAAGGAGAGCTCCTAGACTTCATCCAAAAACCCATGAATTACAATTTCTGCCTATTTGTGGTATGTAGCTCAACCACAAGCTAATGTCATTGGTAGGCATTTACCCTTAAACCTGACATTTTAGAACCCCTGCTGGTCCCAACTTCTCACTTGAACTCCTAGTAACTTCCTGTATGAAATCAGTCGCTAGCAAGCGTCAGATTGATTATGAAGGGTTAGTTTTCAAGGGTTTAACTGGTTACAGGTCTGATCAAGAGCTGACGTTAGAAAGAGAACTATTGGAAAACAAGGGTGTACTAGACAGCTGTTTCGTTCTAGTTCTCCAACTAATGTCAGAACATCACCAGACCTGTAACCAATCAAATCATGGCAAACCAATACTTGACTACTAACTGATAGGTCAGCGTAGCGTGTTTCATAAAGCTACACCAGTTTAAGCTGTCACATTGGAATCAAAAACACCCAACTAGATTTCGCCAAGTATAGAACAATTTCCTATTCAGCAAAATTGCGCACATTAAACAGACCAATTTGACATGAATTAGGACTGATTGCATTTGAAAAGTTTTTGATGGTTTTTCATCCAGTTGTTAATTTTTGTCTACCGAAGGATTCTAAACAAGCTACATAGTTTTGTCAGCATGACTAAGGTCAAGTGCAAATTCTATTGTTCACTAGACTAAAGGGTGACGACAACTTTCTTCTGTCCAAAGGGTATCAAAATATGGTGGTACACCCATTGACTGGGTGTTGGTTTTCAGGAGGACCGAATACACCTATCCCCGCCTCTTGCGAGAAGAGACCGGCATGCAGAATCATCCTGTGGCGCAGCCACAAGATAATAAATAACTTTAAAAAATTAAACCTTGAAGCCTTGCCAACTAGTGGGAAGTTATGACCAGTAGGGTACAGCAGGTAGAGCATGAGAGCGCTCTTTCATGAATTGGCAGAAGTTGGAATTCATAGCCTGGCTATCGGATCACATCCCAGTGGCTTAATAGTCTACGAGCTAGCTCACCGTGTATAACCAGAAGGTCCTGAGTTCGAACCCTGACGGTGGGTGCGCTCTGATGAAGAGTCCCAAAGTAGGACGAAACGGTTGTCCAGTACTCCCCGTTGTTTTTCCAATGATTCTCTAACCGATGTCAGCTCATGATGAAATCCGGTAAGTAATTAATCAAATTCCTGCCAACCAGTACTTAAACCTCTACTGAAATAGTTAAATCATACCTATACAAGTGGTAATTTGATAGTAATTTACAAAATGTCTATATATTTTTGTTTTTTTGTTATAATTTAGGTGAATGATTCACAAGGCATGTTATATCCATGGATTTATTTTATCAGTATGATAATTATTGGATCATTCTTTGTTATGAATCTTGTACTCGGTGTATTGAGTGGGTAAGTAGATCCCATATGTCTATGTTTGCCTGTGTGTGTGTGCGTTCATACATAATAATACCAATCATTACTTGATGATGATGATGATGACTGATGATGAAATGGAAATCTGAGTTGTGATAGACTCCGAAGCAGCCGCCAGTGAATTACTTACTAGTCTTGCTGGCAAACTGTTCACCACCTCGTGATTATTTCACTACAGGCACTGCTGGTGGCGCTATCCAGAATTCCATTTCACCACCTTTTATCATCAGCCACTACATGAGTAACAGATTATCAATCCCAGGCCTAAATTACGCTCTCAGATTTACTAATATTTGGTTGTCTTGTCTAAGAAGTTGTGGAGTGCTTTGATTGGACACTAGGCAGTAAACAGTTTCATACATGTAATCATTTGTTTGGTGCAGAGTGAATTCTGTCAGTGGTAACCTTTCTGAATGAAACACTAGCTGACATAACTTCGAATCTCAGAAGTGACATGAGTTCCTTAAAGTTGGCAGATATGCCTTACTGACGGGTGAGAGACAAGCATGAAACCAAGGTGGAAGGATTCCTGTTGATTCTCTCCAATCATCTAATAAATTGTAAAAGGCAACTACTTCGCTACTACGGGGTGCCACCGACAATTACACATCTCATCCAACAGCTGTACGACAATGCTGCATGCCAATTAATCCACAACGGGAAACTCACGGAATCCTTCGAAGTGAGGACAGAAGTAAGACAAGGCTGTCTACTATCGCTAATGATTTTCCTGATTGCAGTAGACTGGAAACAGGCATAAAATGGAATCACACAAAAATTTGGAGGATCTGGACTTCGCCGATGATGATATATGTCTGATTTCCCACAAACTGGAAGATATGCAAGCGAAAAGCAACAAGCTGGCAGAAGAAGCATCAAAGATAGGAAGGACTTCAGGTGAACATAGAGAAAACACAGCTGATGAAGATTCCCGGGCAACACCACCAACAGCGACAACAACAACGACAGTCAACAATCGGCATAAATGGGAAGAATCTGAAAGACGCAAACTACTTTACCTACCTGGAAAGCATCGTTTCAACTACAGGCGGAACTGACTACGATACCAAAGCAAGGATCAGGAAAGCAAGACAAGCTTTCACTACTCTCAAGTCTGTGTGGAGGTCAACAGCACTCAGCATCAAAAATAAGATCCGGATTTTCAACTCAAATGTGAAGTCAGTGCTACTTACTATACGGATCAGAGACTTGGCCAGTGCTTCACAAAAGAGCACCTCAAACAAACTACAGACTTTCATTAACAGTTGTCTTCGCTCAATACTCAAGATCAGATGGCCGACCAGAAAAGATCAGAAACAGAGATCTCTGGCAATGAGCGAACCAACCCAGCAGGAACCAACTGTGCAACAAATAGGCAGGAAGAAATATAGATGGATTGGCCCTACTCTGAGGAAACCATCAAGTGACATCACTAGACAAGCCAATGCTCGAGTGGAACTCGAAAGAGAAGAAACGAGTTGGTCGTCAGTGCAAGGGTGACTTGGAGGAGGTCATGTGAAGAGGAGATAAAAGCATGTGGGGAGCAGACTTGGAGCCAGATGAAGACTCTAGCAGAGAACCGAACGCAATGGAGATGCACGGCTGAAGCCCTATGTCCTGTAGGAATTAAAGGAAACAATAGTAATAATACTTAGTCACACACGTTAATGACACATTACAATAAATCAGTGGACTAAACCTTCTGTGACAACTTTCATGGAGTGATATCAAAATTCACGAACATTAACACAGTTTGACAATTTGTTTCTATTTTGTCGATTTTATGATAACCACGGTTAACAATTCTCATTAAACTTTAAGCTTATCGTTCCGCCAAAAACAGCACATAATGCGAATTACTTTCGTGTGTTTTGGTTGATTGTATTTTCGTTTGACAGCGGCAGAATAATTTATTTTATTTTACTTTTTTTTTGATTAATTTTTATTTTAAGAAACTTTCATGTTTCTGCTTGATTAGAAATTTCTCAAGATTTTTTTTATCTAAAAAACATCATTAGTGTAATCTACCGGCGACTTTCATAGGTCACTCAGTAGAGGAACTAGTAGTGCTCCGTAAATAGGAAGGCATTCGTCATCTGTATGTTATGCAGTGTGCGGTGTGAAAATTTCCCACAATCACATTTGAGAGCAAAAATATGTTTAAGTATTGGTTTGTAGGGATTTGGTTGATTGGTTACAGGATTTCATCATGAGCTGACATTGGTTAGAGAACCGTTGGAAAACCAACGAGGAGTACTAGACAGCTGTTTGCTCCGTCCTAGTTTGGGACTCTTCGGCAGTACGCATCCATCCACAGGAGGTTCGAACCCAGGACCTTCTGGTTACAAGGCGAGCTCGTATTCCATTAAGCCACTGGGACCCGTTCCAATGGCCCATGAATTCTAACTTTTGCCAATTCACGATATGGCACAACCGTTAGCCAATGTCTTCGGCGAGTATTTGTCCTCACACCCGACGTGCTGCATCCTACTGGTCACAGCTTCCCACTGGAACCTCAGGTAACTACCTACCTGAATAGGGACGGTCACCAGTGAGCATCTCATTGATATTCATGTATTGGTTTGTAGGGATTTGGTTGATTGGTTACAGTGGCTTAATGGTATACGAGCTCACCTTGTAACCAGAATGTCCTGGGTTCGAACTCTGGCGGTGGGTGCGTACTGATGAAGAGTCCCAAACTAGGACGGAGGAAACAGGTGTCCAGTACTCCCAGGTTTTCCAGTGGTTCTCTAACCGATGTCAGCTCATGATGAAATCCTGTAACTTAAAAATATATTTAGACAGCAATATGAGTTGTGTTTAAAAATACTAGTAGCAATCATGAAAACAAGCAGCATGAGTAGATGGTAATATATTACTCATTGATATCAGTAGCTGGAAACCACTGTCTCATTTAAAATTATGTAATCTGTAAAAGGCTGTCTGGTGTTTGCATCATTCTTATCAGGGTAGTGTGTACTGTTAAGGGTGGATATAGTGTCCAGCATGACTGAGGTGGTGGCGTAAGCCTGTATTCTAGCTACTAGGAGGCCGGGGTGCGGAATTACGCGGGACCGGGAGTTCTGGCATGTGGGTACTCATGTTGTGCGTTGGTGGCATAGCGGTTAGGACGCTCGCCGACCATGCACATGGTCCGAGCTTCGATCCCCGGCCGACGCATTCCTTTACCTCGCTATGCCAGAAGTAATGCTGGTGAAGAGAAAAGGTTGGGCATGAGGCTAGCAATCCAATGCTGTAAAAGTAAAACACTGCTATAGAAACTTCAAGACACCAGCTTGAAGCCCTATGTTCCACTGGGGAACGTGAAGGAAAAAAAAATAACTGAGGTGGATTGATATTTCAATGGTTGATTTTGTCCTTCCAGGTACAGACACTGGTCTTCTGATCATCTTGAGCAGAAATCGTCAACTGTCTGGCAAGTGATCTGCTCCAGTTAGATATAAGATGATGCTGTTCGAAGGAACTGTACTGACCTCTAGGTTAAAGATAAGGAGTAAAGTGGAAGAGTGTGTTAGTCACTTTACTTGTTTTGGAAGTTAAACTAATTCTTATGGACTGATTACTGACGAAATCTCAGTTTGGATACAAAAGTCTGGCTAACGAGATATCCAGCTGTCGATCATAGGATGTATGTATATACTGCGCAGCAGTTCCCTCCCTGTTTCCTTCTTTGCGCCTGCAACACACGATCATTGAAAGTGAAAGATTTGAAAAGACCAGTTGTCTTTTACCGCAGATGTTTGCGTTTCAACTTACATATTAGGTGATGTAATATGGCGAGAAATATTGAGATGAGGCGTAGAGTGAGTGTTAAGTGAGGAGGAAAGATCAATCGATGAGGTTGCTAGAATCACGTGTTACGTATGGAAAGTCGTTGCCTTCCTTGACAGACAGTGCTAGCTAACACAGGATTAGGTTAGAAAAGAATTAGTGTTAGTCAAACCGAAATCTGTCATCAGTCCAAAAGGTCTTTAGCTGTTGGTTTGAGCTGCGTAGGGGGGTGTGTGTGAACGTGGCCTGGTTGGGGTCTTCATGATAAGAACCAATGGTTGCAGGCTATCGGTTTATTCACTCATTATAATCTCCTATGATGTTTTTTCAAGGAGGTATTCTTTTTCATTCATACTTCTGCTCATTGTATTTATTTTAAATCTCTTTTTTGTCTCAAGTTTACCTACCTTTCTGTGCTACATAGAGGGTGGAAAGTCAAACTGTTGCACTTCAGTGTTGTCAGAATTTTCACTGGATAACTTCGCCGCAGTTCAAGTTGCAACACACTTCCTAAGGTACCCATTAGACTAGAAAAAAGACAAAGAAATGCAAAGAAACTAGAATAAACCGACGTCTGCCTGTCTGTTTTCGACATAGAACTTTGCACAGCGGTTAGGACTCTCGCCGACCATGCACATGGTCCGGGGTTCGATCCCCTGCCGGCGCACACCCGATATCTATGGTCGGCCTGAATTTGGGCTACCGATATCCATGCTGAAAGTTCCATACTTGTACTGAAAATAAGTTGTGGAATCAAGCTGTAAATCAAAAAAATATATATATGTGCGGCAGTTAAAGTCGCCATACTCCCTCTTTGTAGCACACAAAGCAAGAGAAGAAAGTAGGAAGAATGCATAATAGAGACAGTAAACAGACGTGTGAGACAAAGGAGTACTAATAACGAAGAACAAAACAGTTTCATTGGAAATCATAAGTCACAAGGAGTGGATGCATCTGCACCAGCCATTGAGAACGATTTTGAGCCATGTCACCAATTGTTTCCACCCATTGGTTTTTACCGTCATGAGGACCCCAACCAGTCAGGAAGTCTACACCTTCCTACGTGGCCTAGATTAACTGTTGTGGATTTCATTGACTGATAAAGCCATGTTTTGGTTTGACCACCACCAGCTAACTCTTTTCCAGCCTGACCCTATATCAGCTCACATTTCCCATTGTCGAGG